GTGACCGGCTACTTTTGAGAGCCTCTATGTGTATAGCATTACAAGGCCTCTTTGGATACCTAATACAAATATAAGCAACCTGAATAAGATGTTGGTAAAAAAATAACTAATAATGAATTCTAATATGGGAGAATTGTGGAATGTTCAGGAGAGAAATTGATGATTGTATGATAATTGTTAATAAAGAAGACACCCGTATTCTATGATGCTATTTTGAGGCCACAGCGCTCCTAGACCACTTGTGTACCGTTAGGAGACTCGCTTCATGGCCATAAGAACTTGGTTCATATAGAATGTCGGTATCCGTCTTTTCGGAGTGTATTTACACAATGATCAGGTCTCTTCTTGTGGAGAGGTATGCCAGGAATTGAAACATTTTTCCTTGAGGAAGGACGTTGAAAATGATTTAAATGTGTAGAAATCATTCTAGTTAATTTAAGGCCAGCACCCTTTTCAAGTGATGACTCCATTCGAAATAAAGAGAAAAATATTTTGGGCTTGGGTTTACATCTTAGAATACGGCATAGTCGCTCTAGTGATGGTAGTTATCATCTTAGGCATACTAACGACAACAACAACTAACAACTATGATATGTGTGTGTGTGTATGCATATGTTTGTGTGTGTTTATGTTCATATGCATCTATCTGCGTATGCATCTACGTATATAATAGTAATAATAATAATCTCATTTTTCACCACCTTTGCCATGGTTATTGATTTCTATTTTGTCGATATAATAAAGGTAAAATCATGAAGATAAGGATTTTGTAATAGCAGATTTATTTCTTTTTGTAGGACTGAATTTTACTTTTTTATTGTTTTTCGAACTGCTGTTAAACTAAAGATATTAGTGATAATGACAGGAGTACGTAATAAAGCTGGTAGCGAAACGGTACTTTTAGTGTTGTGTAAGAAGTCGAATTAAAAAAAATAATTATATCATATTAATGTTATTATTAGATTACTATTTGTACTCTTATCCCTCTGAGTATCATTGCCATTATAATTACTATCATTATTATTATCACTTGAGGTTGTTATTATTGTTATCACCATCAGCAGCAGCACCACCACCATCAATATGATACTTGTTGTGTTGTTATCATTATTACTGTTATCGAATAGTTGTTATAGATGATTATTAATTTAGTTTTACTATGATTATCATTAATGATGTTAAAATGTTGATTACCATTTCTATCATATCATTTGATTATATCATCAGTATTTTTGTCTTTCCATCTCTACTGTTATACTTTCTTACTTACTAGTACTTACTAGTAGTGATACTAGTACTACGCTTACTAGTACAGTTGACTAGATAAATTCACGGCACCCTAAGGTTGTCGAGCTTGGATTTTATCTAAATAAACGTTGCAACATATATGTTTGACATTTAAAATTAAATTCATGAATCGAAAGTTAATGCCCTCATTTCGGTATACTGCTTATATCTTACACTCGCTAAAGGATGAATGTTTATATGAAATTTATATAAAAAAAAGTAATATATATGTGTATATATAGAGATGTATTTTATTATGTAACCGTCTGTTGCCTATATTTGCCTTCCCCTCGGCTATCATTTACACACCAATTACCTTTTTTGACTTGATAGTTCGCTCGTCGAAAAAAAATGTATATATATATATATATATATATATATATATATATATATATATATATATATATATATATATATATATATATATATATATATATATTTACATACAATCCATACATGATTGTCCATTTTTGTTTTCCCTTGTTCTGGCACAAAGCATCTGTATAGAATATATGATTAAGCTTTACGTACTTTATGCCTCCATTCTACACATACATTCTATCTTTCGTCTCTGTACCGACTAAAGGACGCTGTGGAAATGCGTCTAAATATTACGTTATTGGACGTGAAAGGCACTTCGAACCGTAGGTCGGGTTGCATGGCAAAAATTTGGCCTGCCTCTCGCTTCCAAAGTGAACGGTAATGAGTACTTTACGCATCAGAAATGGAGCTGATGGATCGTCAACGGAACCTTAGCAATGGGAGCGCGACTCTTGCGGATAGAAATTAAACGGCCACAAAAAAACTCTTCTCATACCAATTCCTAAACGTCCTGAGCCGTTCCAATGCCTGTCTACCGATCCAAGACGATTTTTGAACGTTCTGGTAGCATTCCAGTGCCTTTGCAATAGCTTCCTGATATCGCCCCAGACGTACCAAGGCCGTCCGAAACTTCCCATTACCATTCCCTAAACGTTAAAACTGTTATAAATACGTGATATCAGTACTGCTCACAGTTTACTCCCGACGTAGCTAGAATTCACATCGCCATGTAACAGTTTTTCATCGAGCAGAAATCTATAGAACGGTCGTTCGTGCACTGGATTGGATTGGCAGAGACAGCTGGCCTGAGGACGACCAGGAGCGCTTGAGACCAGAGGTAAAGCGGATAAGGGGCAAGACGTAATTGGCACCGACGACTCTTTGGAAGAAA